AGCTTGAAAACTGACCACTTGAAAGTGGATACCATGTGTCCAGCCCAACGTTGTTTCAAATAACTCTTTTCGTACCAGTTTCAGTGTGTGTGACTTGCCAGTTCCGGGGCCACCGTGGAGCACCCAACGTAGGGGTTTCGAGTGGGGAACGCCTGGTTCCAGCTGGCTGTCCTCCAATTCCTGCAGTACACGCGCGGCGACTTTCGCACAAAAACTTTCTTGTTCCGGGTTGCACGCCGCTGTCTCCGCAAGCTGAGCACTCCAGGTTCGTACCGCGTCTTTCACGTGCGTTGGGGCACAGAACACGGCTGCCGATTGCTCCTTGGGCGGCAGTAGACCGTGTTGGGTCGTAGCGGGCTTGGCTCGAGCAGCTTTGCGAGCCGCCGCGCAACAAATTGCCTCGTAGGTCGCCGACTGCGCGGGCGTGGGTGGCTGGGGTGGGATTGAGGTCGGCCACAGAGCGTCTGCTTGCCGCGTTGCTTCTTCTGTTCGGTTGCCCTGTTCATCGTTCTGCGCGCAGTTCCTTTTTCGCCGCTGTGCAGGTAACTGCGTCCGCAACGCTCCGGGTAACTGCGCTGTAGTTAGAGCAATTGGCTCATCAGCTCCGTCGTCATCACTATTACCCTCGGCTTCTGCGTGTGGCCGCACCCGATACACGGACAAAAAGCTGCCGACGTTTCGTTTCGTTTCCGCGCACGGCAGAAGCTGCAGCCAGTGGCGCAAGGACTCTTCCCACGATTCGCGCTTGCCGAGCAAGTGCCCCAGGAAAGGCACGTTTTCCGACTCCTCAGCGGCATTCAAAGTCCATGCACGGAAGTATACATGCGTCAGCCTTGCGTTGGCTTCTGCATTTTCCGCCAAGCTCTTTGGCACCGGGCAATTGGAGAACTGTGGGCACTTTGGTCGCGCGCGTCGCTGAAGATACCAATTGCGCCGTAAGCCGGCTGTAGCACCGATGCTGGGGAAAAGAATGCGGTCTGGGGTCGCTTCTATTCGTATTGCATACTCCGCGCCCGGCCGCAATCGTGCAGGTGCATCGCGCACCGTTGCGCGTAGCTTGCGCTCTCCGGCCGGCGTTAGGCGGACGTCCCACGCCGTGGCGGAGCTGTCTTCCCACTCTTGCCGGCTGTATGGAACGCGTGTTGGCACGAGTTCCCACCACATCGTAATCTCGTACGGTGACAACCACCAACATTCCGACTGCGCAGGCCGGTGGCAATAGGCTTCTGCAAGTACGCTGGCACGAAAATGTTGCACTCCTACTCCGGGCGCTGGCTTCGTTCGAATGAATTTTTTGGGCGGCACCACCCGGCCAGGACTGCGTTCTAATGCTTCGAGTAATGCTACATATTCTCTGCCAGGAAAGCTGATAAATCCGGCCGTGGAAATTCCCTCTGCGGCTACAATTTGGCCTTCTCTGTGGTTGGCTCGCAAGTTGCAACATTCGACCTGCCCCCGTACCACGCCTTTACAGTACGCGTCGCTCAGAAAGCGCGCGGCGTGTCGTTTGCCTATCGTTTGCAGGTCTTTCTCTGCCAAGGACGCATGGAGCGCCATGTGTCCTTTTTGAAACTCTTTTATTTCGCGGTATCCCATCGGCTGATTCTTCGAGCAGTAGTCGCTGCAGTATCCTGTTGGTGCGTCTTGTGCTCTTTGCGCTCCCAGAGCAATCGCTCGCCTGCTTTCGGGCGTCGACGAGTCGCCGCAGCGGTCACAAGCAAAAGGCAAGCGATATGGCACTTGGACGTCGTTATTGCCACCACGCATGCTGGCTAATACTGCTGGGTGGCATGGGTTCAAGAACTCGTGCCCGTACGGCCCATGTAAGGCGCCCAAGCGGTTGCGACGCCCTGTGTCAGAAAAACCGTGTCTTTCCAGCTCACATGGGCACAACACTTTCGCATCGCTACAGAGCCAGGTCGTGCGCGGAAATTCATGCTTGCAAACCCCTTTGCGCTCTTGCTTTTGGCAGCCTCTCAACGGGACGCGTTCCCCGCTCTCAGGACAGAGTGGGTGGATGTGGTGTTGCTTCAAGCATTGCAGCTTGACAACATCTTCTTCGAGATATTCCTGCTGCCAGTGCCTCGCTTCTGCGGCGTCTTGCTGTTTGCTCGCCGTGCGCCACTGGTAACGCGGTACACTAGTCATCACGGTGTCCTTCGCACGCTCTGGCCATGTGGCTTCTGCTGCTGTCACCGCGGCTTCAGCCGCGGCCTGGCTTTGGCCGCTGTAGACACTGTGCGCAACGTGACTCTGGTACAGACAGTACTCGCGACGCAAGTCCGCCAAACGCTCAGCAGACAACTCGAAAATTTCCAGCAAAGGCGTGTGTTGATGTACGCATTGTACAAAACATTGCACCATCCAGAGACACCGAAAGATGCAAGATCAAACTTTGGATCTGCAGCGGGCGGGTATTTGCGCAGCACGATGTCAACGGTCTGCTGGGCGAGTCGAACAACAACCCACAAAGCACTGCTAATTCGAGCAAAGAACTTGTCAACGTGGACAGGTCTTAGAACGGTGGAGGCGGGTTGCCACGGATTCCCCTGAAGCTTGTTTGATAATAGTAGAGCCCAAGCGCTTTGGTGACGTGCATGTTGCCCTGGTCGTGAGCTTTGCGGTGTTCGATCTTGTCGGGGTTTCGCATTGCTATTTTTGTATTAGGGACTTCGCGCTGGGGTGCCGCCAGGGTCTCCAGTTGGCATCCACCAGTGCTACCCTGTGACCACCGGCCACGCAAAATGTCACCCACACAGGTAATCATATATATTGTTATCCTTGTGTGTTGGTTGTGTTTGAGCGTTGTGGCTGTGTGTTTGTGACTTGTGATTGTAGCTGTGTGTTTGTGATTGTGTTTCTAGTTGTGTTTGTGATCGTGGCTGTGGTTGCGTTTGTGCTTGAGTTCGTGGTTCGTTTGTTTGTGCTTCTGTATCGTGGCTGTGCTTCGTTGGTTCTGTACTCTGTTTTGTTTTTGTGGCTGCATGTTGTGCGTTTTGGCTGGCGGTTGAACACGACGCGCACGAGGAGGAGGACGAAGCGGAGGAGAAGGAGAAGAAAGGCAGCTCGCATAAAATCTAACAACCCTCACCTGACAAGTACGGCAAAAGACTCCTCCACCCGAACAAGTCTACGATTCGTCGCCGGTACCAACCCCAAGGAACTCAGTTGAGTCTAGTTCACCTTCGTGACCTTACGTGGGTTTCATGTCATCTGGAAATGGAGTAAATAAGACAGTGCTTGTGCAGCACGTCCCACTTATTCAGCGGGCGTCCCACCCACTCCATTTCCAGATGACATGAAACCACGACCCTTCTCCCCCTCGCTGGGGTCGGCGGCACGGGGCGTAGCCCTTACAATCCGGGCGCCGGCCACGGGCCCGTGTCCTTGCCGGAGGCCTTCGGTTGGTAACCGAAGGTTATATACGCTCGCGCCCCCTGCCGCCGACCCTTTTGTTGGACCGCGGGGATACCCCCGCCCGAAGCGTGTCGACAGATTTTTGACGGATTTTTATGTTATTTATATTTTATCTACCAGCATGATTGCGCATGATGTGGAAAACATCGTTTTTTACAGTGTTTCGTGGCCTTCGGCGGACATGACTTGCGTCTAACAGGGCACCGGTGGTGTCGGTTATGCGTGCTGCGCGGACAGGCTTAATCGACATTTCGTGGGTGTTGGGCACAGAAGTTGCCTAACATTTCCCCAACATAGGCCCAAGATAGCCAACATATGCCCAACATAGCCTCCAAGATGGCTCAACATAGGGCCAACATGGGGCCAACATACGCCAACATAGGCCCAACATAGGCCCAACCTAGGCCAACATAGGCCTAACATAGGCCGACCTAGGTCCAACATAGGCTCAACATGGGCCCAAGATGTGCTCAACATAGACCACATGGGCTCAACTTAGCCCAACCTAGGGCCAAGATGCGCACCAGATAGCTTAACTTTGCTCAATAGGAGAGGGAAAGAGAGAGAGTGAGAGAGAGGGAGAGGGAAAGCGAAAGCGAGAGAGAGGGAGAGAGAGAGAGGCAAAGACAGCGAAGACGGAGACAGAGAAGACCGAGACAGAGACAGAGAAGACAGAGACAGAGACTGACAGAGAAAGAGACAGAGACAGAGACAGGGACAGAGACAGAGACCGACAGCGAGAGAGAGAGAGAGAGGGAGAGGGAGAGTCCAGTGCGCGGACTCTAACCCAAATTGGCCGGCGCCCGGCTGTCAGGCGTAAGCCTCATAAATCCGGCCAGGGGCCCAAGGGGCCCCACCTGGCCGTGTCCTTGCCGTAGGCGTCTCTCCTCTCCGTAGGAGAGAGCGGCGTCCCCCCCTCGCCGCCGACCCCTGCAGAATTGTGTGCTTTACAGTGTTTTCTGCTTCTTCCACTTTTCCGCTCTTGTGGCTCAAGATGGGTCACCATGGCCCAACATAGGCCCAAATAATGCTGGAAATGCGTGCCGCACCGGGGTGCTTGGTCTGCATCGTGGGCGGCTGCTGGGCTAACAACGACCACAACAACAACAACAACAACAACAACAAGCACAACAAGCACAACAACAACCACCACCACCACCACCACAACAACAACAACACCAACAACAACAACAACAACAACAACAACAACAACAACCACAACCACAACCACAACAACAACAACCACCACCACCACCACAACAACAACAACAACGCCCCCGTGCCCCTTTTCCCTGCCCCCTCCCCTTTGCTTGGGCCCCTGGCCGGCTGTCGGGCGTAAGCCCTTAATATATACATGTGTTCATTCTTTATGTTCGTTTCCTTCTTAATTCTTTGCTTTGTATGTTGTTCGTGCTTCCTTTCGTTTCTCTTTCACTTTCTTTGGTTCTGTTCTTTCGTTCTGTCTCTTTCTTCCTTTTTCCTACCTTCCTTATCTTTCTAGATTTCTGTCACGCTTTCTGGTTTCTAGGTCCTTGGCCGGTCCTTGGCAGGTCCCAATTTCAATATGTTCCTAGGTCTCTCGCGGGTCACTTTGGCGCTCTTTCTGCGCGCTGGGATCATTCTCGGAGTGATTCACGTGCTTCTTGTGGCTGACCTGCGCACGCCATCCTATCTATATACACATATGCATGCATCCATCAGCTTCAAGCCCATACAACGGCCTGCATACCCCTACCTTCGTTGGGGTCATGAAAGCTCTTCGCTTCCCCAAGAGCACCAGATGGTTCAAGGCCTTGTGTCAGACATAGATGCTGGTTACAGAAACCAATCCAGACTGAAAGGACCACCTTTCATCTCGTTGGGATCTTGAACGAACTCAAAAGCATGACCAGTTTCATTGCACACAAGTGTCAAAAATAAGGACGTCACCAAAAACCCCGATTGTGGCATCCCAGTAGTTCACCACTAGCATGTTCTTGCAGCCCTCGCCAAAATCAAACGACTGACAGTGGCGAAATCCACATACAAGTGCATCGTGCGATCTTTTGACAACAGTCCAGCAGCCAAAAAGCTTGTCCCCGACCTGGTCCAATGTCAAGTAGCATGTGGAAGTGCCTCCAGCACTTCGGCCTCAGACATACGTCGCTTGTCTCATGTCTCATGTCCACAGGTAAGACGCTTCACAGGAAGCAAAAAGAAAATTTACAGTAGACGCGAAAGAAAAACAAAGGAAACAAATGGTATAAAAATAAACATGTCTGACTGAAGAACAAAAAATGACAGAAATGTGTAAAAATAAATTGCAAAAAAAAAGTCTAAAGAAAAGGACTTTAAAACAAGAAGTCTAAAGAAGAACAGTAACAAAAAAGCGAAAGAACAAATGCAAAGAAAAATAGTCGCGAGAAAAGAAAAACGTGAAAAGATCTATATATATATATCGTACACTTGCAGTATTAAAAGAAACTGTGTATATATATATATATATACATATATATAAAGAAGAAAGGATAGAATGTCTAAAAAGAAAAATAAATGCTTAAATAAAGTTTGCAAAAAGGAAAAAATATAAGTCAAAAGGAAAAACACAAATTCAGTAAGAAGGCCAAACAAATTATCCAAAGAAAAAGAAAAAAGTCACTCAGAAAGGTCTAATGAACAGCTTCTTGCGTCTTAAGACTTGTTCAGAGCCCACGCATTTCCCAGTACAAGTTTAGACGGTGTTTCAGGTATGCACAAAATTGCGAACAAACTATATTTCAGTTTTTTTAGGTGCAAGTGGACGAGTGAAGGTGTGGAGTCAGGTGAGGTTTCTGAAATTAAGACAAGGGGCTAGGTGTAGGACAAGTAGGCCTAAACTCAGGTGCCAGACAGTATCAATGGGAAATGTAGCTGACCAAATTTCTATAAATGTCTCGCACAAACGGCGAAGGGAAAAGCACTGCTTTTTTCCCCAGCCTTACCTTGCAATGAAGCACCGTCAAGAGAAGCAAGGCGTTGGCATAGCCAAGGAACGACGGAAAACATTAAACTTCTCGGTTTAAGGCTGCATTAAAACAAAATTGGCCAGAACAAGCACAAGTGAGGGGATGACACGAAAAAGTAAACAGAAGCAAAACTGCTGAGAAGGGGAGGCGGTAGCGTTAGCGGGTCGTGGAAATACCAAACCTCGCAACCGGATTCCGTCCCAGCGCTGGCTGCTCACGGAAACTAGGCAACAATATCGCCTGCATGTTCGCGCTGGTCTTCCTTTCTCTTGCATTCCCAAAACTATGGCCAAGCTCATTTTGCAATTTGGCGACCCATTTCATTCTTACTTGGCAGGCCGCCAAACCGGCAGTCCCCTGCAACTTGTTTCTGCACCAACAAATACTTCAGGTTCAATGCCTTTTTTGCCATGAACTAGTTGAGGTCACGGAACTGCAACACGTTTATGTGTGTAAATGTTCCAACCTGATACGGATCGAGTTCTACGTGAAGTCAACCCTTCAAGTTGCATGCAAAATGGATGGAAACAAACAATGCATTTAGCAAGAGGCCATCACGTGGATGTCTTTGTCTGCAAAGTGACGCTATGCTCATGCTGTGTCCACTTCAAAGGGTCCGACGTGATTGGGTTTGACAGATTTGAGTCTCGGGTTCCTTGACGTTCCAAATTTTGCGCAAGCACAGCTGTGACAGGGCACAGGGACATTAGGAGCGAGGCTTCCGATCTTGAACAACTTGCCGGTGCGAGGATCTACAGAATAGGTCACCTGGCAAAGTACAAAGATGTACAAAGGCAACTCATTTGACATGCTCTACCTATTGTCCGCAAAAAAAAGAAACAAACATGTCAATCACGGCAATGTCTCCAGGCTCTGCCACAGATTCAGTGCAAGTGTATAGCAAGTTCCTTGCATCCATCCCCAAACACTCTTGCTTTTGTGCACAAAACATCCATCGGCTCAAGGTGCACTGCAAACATGTATACACGTGGTGGGCCTGCGTGGATCAAATCGGGAAAATGCAGGGTTCATGACCTCCAGCCCATTCAGCACTCGCTCGCTCATTGACTTTCACGCAATCAATGAGGCGGTCACACTGTTGTCGCTACTCACAGCGTACAAAACCAATTCCCTTAGTTGCTTCGCTGCTTTCGAGCACTATGCAATGTTTTCACTTGAGATCGCTGGTGACGCAACTAACTACCTACCACACTTTGGCATTGAGGCACGGCATAAACTTGTCTTAAGATACTTTAAGATCTGGTGACCTTTTGAAAAGGTCTCCCCAGCGAACCAAGGCTGGTGCCCATGATTCTCGTCCAAACGGAACGTGTATAGGCTTCGCTTTGCCTGCCAGCGTGGGACCAAAACTCAAAGCTTACCATGCAATGCACACACTGACAGAGCATAACACGGCCTTTCAACGAAAAGGCCACTCGAAAGTTCAAAGAGCTGACGATCTCATCCGCGTCCCAGTCTAGTCTACACCTCACGTACCTTTCGAAACGCTTCGTGCCCGAGCCAGGCGCACTCCACCCACCCTCACCTTTCAGCTATCTGTATGAGACCCTGCTTTGGAACCAAACAAGAGCACCACATTCACAAACAACCAAACAAGTGTCAGGCAGTGAGTGACTAGGCATGATGCTAGGCGTTACATCGCACAACACAGTGATGTGTTTGACCTCACTCTGGCAAATCCAATTATCAAGATCTTATCACCAATCAGTAGCTGCATGCGAATGAATTGTGAAGGAGGGATACCTTCGGCCAAGTCAGCAGTTGAGTCTCGTCTAGTGCTTGAGCACTTGAACCAATTGCAACTCCTCTTCAACTTCTCTCGGAGATGTCACAACATTGGCATAGCTGTGGAACACCTCTACCATCTGCTTTCGAGAGCCCAATTACACACAAAGCATGCGCAAGCACCCCGACCAATAGCCGCCTTGGACCCCACATCACCCGAATGGTGCAGCACGCCTCTGTCCCACGTGGACCGTGCGCCAGATTGTCCTAGGCAAAAAACTCCAGTCATCCAAACTCCATGTATTTTTGTAATTTCATCCAAGTTTCAGGAGGAGCTTCAACTCTAGGAGCCGCACAAAGCGAGTGTAGCAGGATACAACAATGAGCTCGTGACTTGCGGGCACCACCACCCTGAGAGTTTTAGCGAAACGTGCAGAATTTGAAAAATACTAACTCAATTCCATTGAAGTCTTGGCTTGGCGCTCAGCCGCTGTTTCGTCCTTGGGTCATCAAGCAAAGGTTCTCAGAAGCCTGTCTTGGTGCAAACGAACTGCTCGCTGCCACAGCTGAAACGCAGTTGCTGAGGGCAACTCAAAGACTCCCTGACTAAAAGGTTTCAAGATCATTTTTAACATCCAAACCCAAATCCTGAGATGTCTGCGAGTGGTGAGATTCTTCCAGATGGAAGAGCACTTGGCCTTGGAAAATTTACAACAAAAGCCTCTGTTCAGAGAGAACCAACCAACATGACCTCTGACTGAAGCATAACACGAACAACAACAGAACCTAGCATCAAGTACATGTTGAACTGATATACTTTCTTTCAAGAACAATCGATCTGCATCCTCTCAATCCAGGTTTCTTGACAGCTGGGAAATGTTTGCAGAAGGTCCATCATCCAGTAGAGGCCCATCTGGCATGAGAGCATGAGAATAACGTATCAACCACTCTGAGACGCAACGTGAGGACAAAGGAAAAAATAACAGCCAAACAATCTTTATATAACAGTAGTGTCAGGTTCACTGATCGGGGTATCCACGTAGCTTTCCGCACTCATCTGGGCAGAAAGTGAAGATCTTGCAGAGTGTTGTTCATTTTCTTCGACAGATTGATTCCTCCATTGTGAGGTGCCTTCCAGATTGGCGGATTCCTACGACAATATGCCAAAGATCACCTCAGCCACCATAGACAGCAATGTCAAAAGTCCCATAACAAAAAAATAGATGACACTGAGCAACCCACAGGATGTCGAGGTAGATTGCGTGCTATATGTTTGATCCGAACACCAACAAGCAAAGTAGTTTACAAGGTCGGTGCAGGTTTGACAACCTGTTGGTTCATGATGCACTAACCAACACATCAGTTTTTTTGCATTGCGCAAGGGACTATCTGATAAGCAGCAAATGTGGACTAAAGCCGGTCCAAAAATTGAATTCTAGGATGTTGGAGAGAAACCCGAGTCAGACTCGGATAAAAACTAAAAGGGTTGGATAAAAATACAGACTGCAATTTCCGACGCAAAAGAAAGGTAAAATTAAAGTTTGGGACAACACAGTTTGCGCGAAATGACCAGTATGTCACAGCTGCGAACCGGATTTTGCGGATCCGGAATGCCAAATACAACAATGCAACAATATGGGATGAAGGAGGAATGGACAGGCGGGGATGGTCTGGTATCCAAAATAAAATTGCGGCTGTTGTTCTTGATGTTGCAATCAGGGCCTGGTTCTGCAAGGCCCCGGGTCAAGAATCAAAGGCCTGCTTTGAAGTCAAACCGTTTCAGTTTTCCAGAAGGGTGAGGAATCCTGAACGGAAACACGAAAACAAAAGAAGTCGCGCCCTTTTCAAAACGATCTGGCCACTTCGATGCGACCGCGTGTGGATCTGTGAAAGTTCTAACACTCCACCTTGACGTTGGAGTGAACCAACTCCTACGTCACCTCTCTTTCGAGGTACAGGTCCACATAGTGGTCGAAGTTGTCATCCCATTCTCCCATCAGCACTATCTTGCAGAAGGTACCGTAATCATGTCGGTCATCTGCTCCCAACGAAATAATGTGGTCAAAGGCCATATCGGGATATGTTCGGCTGTAGGTCGAAGCCAAACGAGTCCTGATGAACTCTTTCAGCTGGTTCAGGGTGAAGATACCAGCTTCCTTCACACGACCGGCCCTCTGCTCTTCTTCACACTTCATGTATTTGAACAAGTTCTCAAAGTCCCACCAGTCTGCGTCTTCTGGCGGTGGTTCAAGCACTGACCTGTTGTTGGGATTCTCAGCGGCATCGTTGAAGTTCTCTGGAGGCATAGGGTCATCCACGTCCATGTAGGAAGGTGGCGCCGCATCATTCACAAAACTTGGATTTTCACGTTCTGAAGTCGTAGGCCTGTAGTGGCGGTGGTATCCACTGACTGGATTTCCCATGAAGTATTCCTCGCCACTGAAGGCTTCTTCTTCACTTTGCAACACCCTGTAGTCAGCAAGGGTGCCCGTCATGGGGTCCCAGTCTGTGATGATGTGTCCAGCAGTTCTCTGCTGAAGTTCAGTCTCACCACCTCCATCAGACATTTCTTCATCTGGTTCACTCTCATCTTCAGCAACCGGACTTGATTCTCCACGTCGTTCTTCTTGTGGTTCTACTGCCTGGTGGTTCAGCTTCTGGTACTTCATCTTCTTGTCGTTGTAGAGGTGCAGGAACATGTAGACCTCGTCTCACCACATCCCATTCTCCACGATTTGCTGCCAACCTTGCCCTCATGATAATTCCAATCTCAGCGAACTCATCTTGCTGTCTTTGGAATTCCATGGTCTCTTCTTGTCTGAGGAATCGAAGGAAAGTCCTGAGGTATACAGACCACTTGACTCGATACCTGTAGCCACAATACACATCATAGAGGAACACGATAACCGTGTAGATGCTCAACATTTTGATGGTGAACCACCTATACGGCTCCTCGGGCATCTCATCTGTGACCTCGTTGACCCTCTGACCCTCTCTCCTCCAACCTTCTGTTGAAGTAGGAGTAGCGTCACTGCTCTCACCAGGGCTGTAGGAATCTTGAATCCCCAACTACTTGTCTCCTCAGTCACGGTCTGGATCATCTGCTTCTTCACCTCCTTCATCTGTTTTGCCAGCATCTTCTTTTCCAGTTCTTGGTTGACGGTGTCTTCACCGACCTTGGAGAAAGTTTCATCCTTGCCCTCAGCATACATCTCCATAATCCCAATGAGATACATCAGGAACTCGCCTCTGTCGGGTCAAGCGTTTTGTTCCAAGATCTGACATGTTGAGAAGGGTTGGAATCCCATCCACCATAGTTTCCTTCTTGACCTCGAGCTGCATCCAGAGGTACTTTGATGTCGATGCGCTTGAGGCGTCCCTCCAAGGCGTTCAGTGAAAGCACGACACGAGCTGCTATCTGTGATAGCCTTGATCATCACTGTCCTGCGACTCAAAAACTGCCACAAGTCCTTCACTTGAATTGCCTATGCCACACCTCCTGCCGAAGCCAAAGACTCTGCTTCACACGAGCTCAATGCAATTGACTTCTGAGACCATGACCAACTGGTCACAAGGCATCCAATGAGGAACAGGAAGACCGAGCTTACACTATGCCTGTGCCTGTTTTCGCTGCTCTTGTCTCCGGCCCAGTCTGAGTCAGAAAAGACTTCCAACACATCACCCTCTATCTCATCCTCCACCTGTCCCAAAATCTTGGCTTGCTTGCTGCGGAAGTTGGAGTGCGGCAGTAGCAGACCATAGCCTTCTGTCCTGCGCCTCACTTCAGCCTCTGCTCTCTGTGTAGGCTTGGCCATGAATTGGCGGAGGTTCCGAACTGCGTGCTGGATGTCAACACGATCTTGGCTGATATAAAGAAGAGTGCCTAGGGCGGACCGAAACCTGAACTGGTCATAATTCTCTTGGGCACTTTCTGGTGTTGCCTTGCCCGCTCTTTTCTCAAGCTGATAAAGCTGCAAAAGGCTAGGGATGTACTTCTCGTGAGGCATGATCACAATTCCATTGCTAGTAAAGAAACGGCGTTTCTTCAAACACCTCACTGCCTGGTCTTCTGCCTGCCCTTCTACTGGACGTATGCCAGACTCGCTGATCACGAACTTCTCTTTCATCACTTTTGACAGCCATTCCAGGTCGTCCACGTGGCAAACTGCTGCAAGCTCTCGATGTTCATGTCTGAACAGTGAGGGAAGACTCATATGGTTCTGGAACCCCCACTCAATCAAATGATTGGTCAGAAACTCAAACCACTTGGCCGCAGCATCACGTTGACCAGGAGGACACTTTGAAAGTTTGGAGCCAGGTTTTGTACTTCTTCTGGTCGCCACCAAGAAGGTTGTTCCACCAAGACCAACTTTGTCTGATTGACAAGCAAAAATGCATCCTGGATGTCAGCAAACATGACCTTCCAACCCAACAAGACATGGGTCGACAGGAGCAATCTTGTAGCGCTCAGGGAGGAAGTAGGCGCAAAGGTCTTGCACTGGAAGCGTCACCACCACGAAATTCTCTGGCAACAAACTTGGATCCTCCAAAACCTTCATCTTGAGCAACCTCTCAATTTTTTTCCTGACCAGCCGCCTCCTCAATGATCTTGAGCTCTTCTGGGCTGACCTCTGGAGGATGACCTTCAATGTCATTCTCCAGATCAAGCACTGGCCACTCAGCAGAATCTTCCGCATCCATGTAAGACTCAATGTCCTCCTCCCAAGTTTCATAATTTACTGGGCAGTGCACGTTGTTCACATAGATCTGGTTGATGTTCCCGGCATATTAAGGAGGATAGAGGCTCGAAGAGGGACCGCCTTCTGGACAAGATCTCGCAGCCTTGGATCGAGGTTCTTGCACTTCTGAATCGTCCAAAACTGGTTCGCCTTGTCGAGTTTGCTACACCCTGCAAAAGATCTGTGTCCAATGTTGTGAAGCTGTCGTGGAAGCGCTACTGTACACAGCACTATCAACACGTCCCACCATCATGATGACCAAAAAGTCGTTACCTTCACAACTGGAGGCATTGAGGTCATGTCGCTCTGCATCGAATGCACTGAAACATGGTTGCAACAGCGCAGTGCTCACCCCAAAAGTATGAAGAAATCAAGTCGATTCCTGAAATTTTTCGGTTTCGTTTGCATACAAATGCTGTCCCAGTCCAGACAACGCGCGGCGCCGAGGCCGACAGACGCCGTCTACAAGTAGCAGCCAATGCCTTCGAAGGTAATGGGACCAATTGCCACACACGGCCACAAACATACGTCAACACTTGCTTGCCAGCCTCTTAGATCAGCACCCGTGTGTTGGTCCTAAGAGTGCCAATCAATTTCGTTTTGCTCTTCGCTTTCGTTGGCATAAGTAGCTAGACAGGGCCCAGGCTGCTACCCGCGGAGTGGTTCTGGATGGGTACAGTGTACAGAATTAGGAAAACGGCGTTTCACTCTGTCTCACCTATTTTCAAGTAGTTCACGGGGCCCTGCATGTATCGGCCTCATCGCCAGCCAAGCGAAGCAGAATTTTTTTGCAGAACAATACCTCTCATGAAGCTATGGAAGCACAAGTTCATCACGCTCCGGATGTTGCCTGGCCAAATGACTGGAGCCCTCTTCTTCTTCAAGAAAGAGGTGCATTACGAGAAGTTCACATTCAACCTTTCATGCGCCCCATTAGAACAATTAGTGACCTTGCTCTTCGTTATAGTTGGTCAAGCTATCATCCAGCAGCTCTATTGTGGCGTGTCTCCTATTGGAGCACTCGTGATCGGTTTGCTTTTTTAGCCAACCTTAGCGATGAAAAAGGTATTCCTGCCTTTCAATGGCATGCAATTATTCCACCGATCTACCTTCTGGCTTGGATGCATTTTCTCCGTACCTTTGCGATGAACACATCCAACAAAGATAAGGATCTTGCTCTGCAAGATGTCCTACCACTATTCCATAATCAAAGTATTGAGATGCCCTTCAGATTTCTCACGGATCAAGAAGTTCTTCAAGTCTCGGGTCTCAGCCAAAACTTTGCAAATATCAGGAAATTTAGCTATTTGCTCACGTCTCGCGCGATTAGGTCCTTCGTTGGCAATTCCTTTCACCCCAAACTTATTAGCATTGCAATTGGCACACCAGAAAATCTAAAAGATTGGGTTCAAGGCAAACAACCAAGTATAACCAATATTGCACATCCTGATACTGTGCGCAAATATTACATCCAATTCAGGCAAGACGTTATCAAGACCCTTGAGCGTATTCAGCATTCTCCAAAATCAGAACTTGAACCAGAGCCATATAGGCACATTGATTATTACCGAGCTCTTGTCATGTCACCGCTTGAAAAGCCTGTTGTCGCACAACCTACCGTTGGCAACATCCCACCACCATATTTGACAAAAGAAGCCATTCAGGGAGACCAACAGAGTCAAGCTAACTCGAGATTGAAGTCTATTGGTACAATGCAATTCCGAAATTTTCTCAATCAAGCTGGCCTTGGTCATTATATTGACTTTATTGCGGCGCCGCAGTGGTTACCTTTCACAAGCACCATTGCTGAAGCGTTGGGAAGAACAAGCTCAGCTCCTCTGTTAGCAACCTATCAGCAAGCTTTCTTCTTACAGCAAGTCATGGCTCGTCTTTTTCTCTTCTTACGCAGTGTTGTAGGCAGCTGCTCTGAGGGGAAATCAGGTTTTTTAGTTGCTGACTACAAATCCAAACCGCTTCATGTGAAATATCTTGGCCCTCCGGAAGCTACCAATATCTATTTGATCAGGCTTGACGAGACACTTGATATTATGATCTTTAAGTATAGCGGACAACCGCTTCCATTACGAGCTTGTGCGGTCTCTTGCCAAGACTACACGGTGTCGTACAGTCATAGTATCACGTTATTTACGAATGTTGCTGGAAGTGTAGTTGGTATCGCTATACAAAAAGGACCCAGCACGTGTTTTGCAGAAGTGCCTTTCTTATATGCTTTCCAAGAACGTGGCTGTGCACTGTGGAGGCTAGTGCAAAGTGCTGTGGCTCGGGCAAACACCTTTGCTAGTCACCCTTTTGTTAATCATTGCCACAAAGACCTTGAATTATTGCCCCTAGTTCTCATAGAAGGCCAAATTGAAAACTATCAGCTGAAGGTCCATGCGTCTACTGCACAGGCATTATGCCCCAGTAAACAATCTTCCATTTGGTCTGCTGAGGTGCCGTATGCCTATTGCATTCTTTTCCTTTGTCAAACCACGCTTGCCCGTGCAAGTAGTGAGTTTGACTATTTAGCTACTTTCTGCGCTACCAGTCAGCAACCAGCCGTAAATTTGCCAGTAGAACACACAGTACGTACATTTGGAACGCGACTTTTCCAAGATACGCCTGTTGATGAATGCCCCAGCCTTACAGTCGAGAATGGTATTTATGTTTGTATTCACGGAGAACCAGCAAGCATTATCTTCCAAAGGGCGCAAGCCCATTTCTCTGAGTTATGACGACTCTTGCTCGTATGCCTTTAGGCACTCTCCGTCTTATATAGCGTACCATTTCGGCTGGGCTCAGGGCTTTCTACTGGTTAACTTATCGTGAATACTGTGGAAGATCGATCACACAAGTCTCCTCACTGCATTTCCTAATTCATTTTCTCTCTCCGAAAGTTGCATATAGACGCATTAAGACAAGTGATCTTGTTATTGCTTGTGGTTTCCATCCGCATGTCAACCTGG